AGGAAAAGGACAGGATGTCTGAGTTGCAAAAACACTTTGCTGAATAGGAGCAAATGGAAATAGATTCAGCTTTGCAACGACATCGAAGAAGGTAAAGTGGCATCAGAAGAGAAAAGTCTGATGTATATTAGAAAAGTAATGTTTGAAAATTTGACCAAGCATGAACATTCCAGGAAAGTTGCTTTTATTATCTATTGAAGACTAACTTTGTTTCTTAATTTCTTCACAAGAAAGCAGTTAGCCAGTTTTATAATTTTTTCATTGGTTCATATGCGCATGTAAGGCGCTCCGCAACTGATCCAGTCAAATTAGGAGTTCCGAAATAATAAACATGTTTTTTAGTGCACTATTACAGTGACTGTATTGAAAGAACAGCATGCCATCATGTGGGTGCTCAGTTTTGGGTTCGTTGCAGAGTATCAGTGCGACAGTACTGGTAAATGTTGGTACAATGATTAAAAAATGCAGCCTGGAAAATACAGACTGAATGAAAAATTAGTTTACCTCACTTGAGACAAAGTCGTCGGTTAGTTGAAGCGAGGCATTTTTACAGAGTTCAGATTTGGGTGCACGTTAAAGAACCCCAGGTGGTCGAAATTTCCAGAGCCCTCCACTACGGCGTCTCTCATAATCAAATGGTGTTTTTGGGACGTTAAACCGCACATATCTATCTATCTATTTTTAAAGAGTTACTAGGATATACAGAAAAAAAGTGGCTGCTTTATGCGTTCACAGAGAAAGGAAGGAATCTTAGAACGGCGTTGGAGCATCTAGGCTGTAATTTAGGGTTTGGATCTCTGAACCTAATATGTAGCATAATCTATAAAGTGCTGTCATGGACACTTGTTTTTTATTGCACTGTTACAGGGTTTCTGTAGCTAAAACTGTTGCACACGTTATCGCTCAGCTCAGGCCGTGCTGGAATGTATCGGGACCATCTTGAGAATTGTGAGACGTTCTAATCAGATTACACGCACAGCACAAGTGGTTGAATAAATGATGAAACTTCCCAAGGTTCACCAATAACGCTAAAGTGTACCATGACGCACCTATAAATTTTCGCGTTTTTGCGCTGCAGATGACATTATCGCCTATCGGCAACCGCGCTCCGCGCTATAATGGTACTGGGAGCGCTTCGTTTTGCTGAGCATAGGCTTTCCCTGTAAATGGGGGTGCTATGCAGGATGGTCCGAGCTTCTCAGGTAGACGAGTTTGCGGCCATGGCATGAAGACAGTGCGGATCACAGGATAGCAGTGTTAATAAAAGTGGCTACAAGAACGCGCGCGGCGTTAGAAACGCGCTGGTTATCAAAGAAACACCACGTGCGTACACGTCAGCGCTGCCGCTCAGTCAACATTTGATTTGATTGATATGTGGGGTTTAACGTCCCAAAACCACCATATGATTATGAGAGACGCCGTAGTCGAGGGCTCCGGAAATTTTGACCACCTGGGGTTCTTTAACGTGCACCCAAATCTGAGCACACGGGCCTACAACATTTCCGCCTCCATCGGAAATGCAGCCGCCGCAGCCGGGATTCGAACCCGCAGTCAACATTTAGACAGTGCAGGACTGCCAGCTTGATCGTTGGGCTTTTGTTTTTTTTTTTTTTATGCCAATAAACATGCACTTCCCACAGGTGGGTTCGTGTGGGAAGTGCATGTTCCGGGCAAGTTTTCTTTCGGGCAAGTTTTTCCGTTCCACCTGCAGCATAGAAATTTCCGCAATCGAAAGCAGCAAGAGTGCCCACGTAGCACTCTCTTTATGCTAGTTTCGATTATATCACATATTGCATACAAATATAAGGATAGGTTGTCACCCAGAGCGTTCGCATCATGGCGGCGACGCGGCTGCGAGTAGATACATTGTGATTGCGGTGAAACTGAATGCGATACAGAGCAGCCACGTGATGATATAGCTTTTACTTCTGCTTGCGTGTGTGCATAGTCTGCGCGACTAAGCTGATAGATTGAACTGTGCCGCTCGCTGGCGTTGCGGCGTGAGCACTGCTCCGCGGCAAAAAGAAAAGTTGTGGGCGGATCCGATCTTCGCCGCGGGCATCCGTCAATCAAACTCATAGACGCGTAAGCTCGTAGACAACTCACTGATTTTGAGAAGGTCCCCGTTTAACTCATGACTGTCATGGTGCTGGTGTGACTGCGAAGCGTTTGATATGGGCGACGCTATTCAGCACCTTCTTTGCATATATATAAAATAATTTGGTCATCTTGCACTACTTATGAAAGGCTGGAGCCATAAAGGAGCTTGTGATAACCTAGCTTCTTTCAGCTTTTCAATTCGAACGTCTACAGCATCTGCTTGGTCTGCTTCGAAGTAAAGGCCGCATCAGTTTTGTTTTAATTTCGATTATACAAATTACGTAGGCCTAATGAACATAACGCTAGACAGTTTGTCCTAATTGATAATGTTCAAATTAAAACGGCGAGAATTATTTCGGGTGCAACTAGCAAAGCCGTAATTGATATAGAGGTATTTACCGTAATTCCTATTAGCACAATCCTAATATTCATCATATCCATAAGGTCTAATTAGAACGGTTTACCTAGCGTACTCATAAATAACGTCATGTTAATCAGGTGATTTAGTTAGTGCGTCAACTAGCATGCTTTGTTTAGCACGGTTTTAGCTTCACAAGGCTTCATTACTATGGCCTTATGAAAATGTGGGGTGACTACCTCGGTCTTACCACGACTTGGTCTAACCATCTTGGTCATATAATATACTGGCCTAACTAGCCAATTATACCGCCGAGCCAAATAACTAATTATCTTGTCCCACAGGATCGCGGGCTAGCAGACAATGAAGACGACAAATAAGGTGCGTACCAGCCGAGCAGCGTGCTAGAATATACAAGCATACCATGGTGACTAACACGTGGCCTCAGGTTCAGCTGCAGTCGCGATGTTGTAAAACGCTGCGTCAGAACGAATCTCGGAGGCCACCGTACTGATTATTACAAAGCAGATTTAGTGCAGCCATTAAAAGCTTCCAATAATCGCAATAGTTTGTTTTTTCTTTAAAAATGACATCAGAAAAAGCTTCTGACGCATTCATTGCATGTGTACACTTTCACACTCAGTGCAACACGGAGGAAGGAAAAGGTAAGGAGAGGCCCTGACGTCACTCGTTGTGAAGCCGCGATGAAGCCGGAAGTCGGCCATATTGAGTAGGCAAACTCTCCTCTCTTGTTTACATATGAATGCGAAGCAGAAGGCGCGACTCCCTCTCCGGCTCGGAAAGCACGTGGGCTGCGCAGCGCGTGTGTCGTGACGATCCGAAACTAATGGAACTGGGCTCATCACTCAGAGCCAGCGGGACACCTTCAGCGAAATCGCTTCGTCCGAGTAATAACAAAGAGTAACAGCTCGCTGACAACGAAGCAACTACGAAAGAAAGCGCGCTAGATGCACTGACAACGGCGAGTGCTTTCACGTCATTAATTGAGCAACTGTACAGACAACACGATCGGTCGTGCGCCTTCTACGGTTGCATTCCGCCACGCGACTGACGCAGCGTCCTGCCACTGTGTCCGTGTTCCGCGTGAAACTCACCTGCGTCAGCATTCTGCGACCGTGGTGACTTTGAGCACGGTGCTAGTGACAGTTGAACGTGGTTGCTGTTACGTTGAAATTACATGAAATGCTGGTGGAGAGTGTACCAAGCGGAACAGAAAAGGTGTTTTAATACGCACATGCAAGTTGTTACTGTACACACACAACACGAAACTACGTATGTGCACATGGTCCTCACGGCGTCTTGCTGAGCTCAACAGCGTCGTCCGTTGTCACAAGCAGGAGCACTGCTCAACCGTCACTGACCTGCAAGGCGTTCGTCGTCATTCAGCTTCGTCATGGTGCCCAACGCCATTTCGCTGAACACTAACTGCTTCATCCGCGTCATCCGCCGCACGACACATGGATATGCACTTGTTCTACGCACTGTTGAAAACCCGTGATGGACAAAGAGATTTGTAAACGTTGCTAAGAGTAATGTAACAGCCAGACGAACACTGCGTAACCAATAACGCGGCGCCGAACACAGATATTGTCCGCCACGGCTCAGCACGAGACCTGCGGAGGCACACATTCCGCCGCCAGCCGCGGCCGCTCACTGCTAGACCAGCTTCACTGCGCAACACGTAACCAAACAACGCCGCCATTGCGCCTACTGAATATGGCCGCCATGATGTCATTTCCGCCACATTTTTTACGCCCTGCGCCGGCTGGGCATGCCCTCTCCTTACCTTTTTCCTTCCTCCGTGCAGTGCAACGAGAAACAAACGAAAGAAGAAGCTTCTGCTTCGAAAACACCGCCAAACTTTGGCGACAGTCCTAGACCCGATGCGAACTTCAAATGTAACCAATGAAATGCAGTGCGCTGAAGGGTGGATTTGAATTTTTTGCACTGTTGGCTCATTCAAATAGGGTTGTCGTCAAAGCTCGGAATGATCCTGAGTTTCGGCCAAGCTCCGGCGATCCTGCAGTGCCCTGGTTCAGTGTTTACCGGCTTGACTGCTGCACTCTCCACCGTGACAACTGCAAAGTGTTCATTTTCCTTTGTGATATATTAAGCTTCACTCAAAGCACTTGGTACTACATTAAATAACATTTGAGAATCAAGATATGGGGGTTTATAGAGGGGGTTTAGAAGGCAACTTGTATGTGCTCATTATCGGCACAGCTCACTGACAAACAAATGCACATTAAATGCCAACCTGCTAGCTAAACAACCTTGTATAGTTTCTTTCTACAAGTTAGGACAAAATCTTGTTCGAGTGATTCGTATACAGTACTTTTCAAGGGGAAGTAATCGGCACGCGAATAATTTTTTGGTGTATGTTGATGCATATGTTGCAAACCACATGTCTGTAAACAGCGCAAAATATTTTTATCCGTACATTTAGCATTTCGAAAATAGGCTTGGGTGGCTAAGAGGTTTGTGAAATGTGGCTTGGCCTTCATTCGCCGATTCCTCACAGGTGGTGGTGACGGACAAGTTCCCCGTGGACCTGCACTACGTTCCGCATTTGGACCAGGTGTGGGTTCTGTGCTGGCGAGGCCCCGTGGACCGTGGCACAAAGACCATCCAGATCATCCGTGACGCCAGCCAGAAGAAGAAGCACCACACCGTACACCCAGAGCCAGTCGATGGACACTTTGACCTGGTAATGAGCAGAATGAAGTGCTTCATAATACTTATGATGCCTCAAATACCACAGAAAACAGTCATCACCATGTCTTCATATTAGTACAATTCAAAGTTTTTTATTTAGAAAGGCGTGATTTCGATAAATCGGCTCATATAGAGATACATGCAGTCAATCGGGATACTGCAAATCAGTTCTGCGGAACCGCGCAAGGTGACAGAAGGAATAAAAAAAAAGAAATTGACAATTCCACTAGAAAGGCGTTGGTTCCGCGTCCGTTCACTGGTCCAGGATGAATTTTTCGCCAACTAAGAAGCTTTGTTTCTGATAAATCCGACCTGATTTCCTTTTGGTCTTGTGCTACGAACAGATGCTGTCAATTTCCTTGCCTTAGTCATGAGGACGCCGGTCAAGTGACTTTGAACATGGCAGCAACGGACATATAACATTTACGAATGGAAAGCTGTGTGCATTCATTCCAAGGTTCATAATGTCAAGCAGATCCTAGCACAGGTATTTATTCGAGCCCACTTCAAAACATGGTGGTGATGAAAAGTCACTTAATCTGTTTCCTCTAATCTGGTGTATACAAAGCAATGCTGCCTATAGACTCGTGCAGTCATTACAATTTGGTAGAAAACTTCCACGGTTCTTGAACTGTAATTTCCGACCAAATCCTTGTTGTAAAAATAACCCATTACCTCTCTCGAAATTCTGTGGTCATGTAATTGAAGGTGAGGTGTAGTGGCCTGCTCAGCAGAATCAAGAAGTTTCCAGTCGAGTATAGTTTCTAAATGTTACAAATTTACTCTACTTGCTAACGGCGTAAACATTCCAAGGTTAACAAGCACTGAGACTGGCTAGTTAAGGAATCAACATATTTGCACAGCTCAAGATTACGAGTACTTACAGCTTAACTATGCAAGAAGAAACAAGGACTTAAAACTGGCGCTATGCATGAACCGATGCACGCTCCTCTTTTTTCAATAAAAGTGCCTTCATTCCGTGATACAAAAGTTGTCTTTAAGTAAAAGCCAACGAGCTCAAGACCGTTATGGCCACCGCATTCTGGAACGCAACTGAACCAAAGTTGTCAATTCAGTTCTCAAGGTACCATACGTAGCATCGTGTCATGTGGTATATAGAGTAGTAAAGATCTTTGATGTCAACAGAGCAGGAACTTAAGCCATTGTTGTTACGTGAAAATGTCATTAGAATCTTTCTCCAGAAAAGGGTCATTGATAGTCAGCAAGTTTAGCTTATCTTCTAAAAACAAGGCCGCTTCCTTCTGCCAAGTCCTATTTTCCGAAACATTGACCCGAAGCGGCGAGTTGAGTTTGTGAGTCTTGACTGGGAAGAATAAATCCAAGCTAAGTTTCTTGCTTTTGTCAATGAATCTTGCTAGCCCACCTAATTCAGTGTGTCCTCGTTCTCTCAATCGTTTGGTGTCTATTTCTTGCACTGCTCTACACTATGATTCATTCAAGGCTTTCTTGGTGAGAGAGTCTGCCTCTTCAGTACCTTTTATTCGAATGCGGCTGGGTATCCACTAATATAAGATGCTGTGACTGTATGCTGAGGCACTTTCCGCAGTATCTGCAATACATTGTGCTATTTTGCCAATTTTTCTACGTGATTTCACATGTTTGATTATCTGAAGCGCCATTCTGCTGACTGTGCATACTGCCCGCTCTCGTGTCCCAGAATTGCCCCGGATAAACTTAACTGCTTTAATAATATTGACCAATTTTGATGTCGCTGATGAAGATTTGTGTGATAATTTATACATTTTACTTGGTTTTCGTGGAAGTTGTAGGTCAATGCTACAGGTTATTACTACAGGTTATTGGTACGTGCTATTGCTACAGGTTGACTGCCAAAATATCACTCTTTAAAAAAATTTGTTACGCAACTTTAGTAGAAGCTATGTGCGATGGCAGAGGGCACAGTATACGAAGAGTGCAGCAAATAATATGTTGTCAAGGAGAAATGACAAAAGCAACAGCACTAGCCATTCACAGACATCATCATCATCATCATCATCATCATCATCATCATCATCAGCCTGACTACGTCCACTGCAGGACAAAGGCCTCTCCCATGTTCCGCAGTTAACCCAGTCCTGTGCTTGCTGCTGCCAATTTACACCCGCAAACTTCTTAACCTCGTCTGCCCACCTAACCTTCTGTCTCCCCCTAACCCGCTTCCCTTCTCTGGGAATCCAGTTAGTTACCCTTAATGACCAGCGGTTATTCTGTCTACGCGCTACATGCCCGGCCCATGTCCATTTCCTCTTCTTTATTTCAACTATGATATCCTTAACCACCGTTTGTCCCCTAATCCACTCTGCTCTCTTCTTGTCTCTTAAGGTTACACCTACCATTTTTCTTTCCATTGCTCGCTGCGTCGTCCTCAATTTAAGCTGAACCCTCTTTGTAAGTCTCCATGTTTCTGCTCCGTAGCTAAGTACCGGCAAGATACAGCTGTTATATACCTTCCTCTTGAGGGATAGTGGCAATCTACCTGTCATAATTTGAGAGTGCTTGCCGAATGTACTCTACCCCATTCTTAGTCTTCTAGTTACTTCAATCTCGTGGTTAGGCTCTGCGGTTATTACCTGCCCTAAGTAGACATAGTCTTTTACAACTTCAAGTGCACTATTACCTATCTCGAAGCGCTGCTCCTTTCCGAGGTTGTTGTACATTACTTTCGTTTTCTGCAGATTAACTTTAAGACTGACCTTTCTGCTCTCCTTGTCTAACTCCGTAATCATGAGTTGCAATTCGTCCCCTGAGTTACTCAGCAATGCAATGTCATCGGCGAAGCGCAGGTTACTAAGGTATTCTCCATTAACTCTTATCCCTAACTGTTCCCATTCTAGGCTTCTGAAAACCTCCTGTAAGCACGCGGTAAATAGCATTGGGGAGATTGTGTCCCCCTGCCTTACACCCTTCTTGATTGGTATTCTGTTGCTTTCTTTATGAAGCACTATTGTAGCAGTTGATCCCCTGTAGATTTCTTCCAGAATGTTTATATATACTTCATCTACGCCCTGATTCCGCAGTGTCTGCATGATGGCTGATATTTCTACTGAATCAAACGCCTTCTCGTAATCTATGAAGGCTATGTATAGTGGTTCGTTATACTCTGAGCATTTTTCTATTACCTGATTGATAGTATGAATGTGGTCAATTGTTGAGTAGCCTGTTCGAAATCCTGCTTGTTCCTTTGGTTGATTGAATTCTAATGTTTTCTTTACTCTGTTAGCAATTACCTTTACAAATAGCTTGTATACTACAGAGAGCAAGCTTATCGGCCTGTAATTCTTCAAGTCCTTGTCATCTCCTTTCTTATGTATTAAGATGATGTTAGCGTTCTTCCAAGATTCTGGTACCCTTCCCGTCAGGAGACACCTCGTAAACAGGGTGGCTAGTTTTTCTAATACAATCTGTCCTCCATCTTTCAGCAGATCTGATGTTAACTGATCCTCACCAGCAGCTTTGCCTCTTTGTATGCTCTCATAAGCTTTTCTGACTTCTTCTATCATTACTGGTGGGGTGTCATCTGGGTTACTGCTAGTTCTTATAGTATTAAGGTCGTGGTTGTCTCGGCTACTGTACAGATCTCTGTAAAACTCCTCCGCTATTTTAACTATCCAATCCATATTGGTAGTTATTTTGCCTTCTTTGTCCCTTAGTGCATACATCCGACTTTTGCCTATCCCAAGTTTCCTCTTCACTGCTTTGACGCTTCCTCCGTTTTTCAGAGCGTGTTCAATTCTCTCCATGCTATACCTTCTTACATCGCATACTTTCACAGACATACTTGGCCCTATATGAGTAAATACATATATACTTCTTTGTTTCCAGCGGTCCACGCAAATCACAGTTTAGGGAGTTCACGCACTGGATACGGTGCGTATATATCGCGTATTGTACCACGACCATCCTGGTGAGGCTAACACCAGCTGACAAAAACGGTTGAGTTCGAAGCGTAAGTTGATAGAATGAATTGGCATTCTATAGTTTAATTTGTAGACATATGCGTGTGCAGGATGTTTCATTGTGGAGGGGGGGCGCTTTAAACGTAGCCCCCCCCCCCCCCTTTGCAAGCACACCGCATTGGTCGAGTACGAAGCAAGTTTCGCAATGGATGAAACCACGAAACTGTAGTGATCACGAGCTCCTCATAACGGCCTGCATTGAATACCTGGATTTTCGAGGGTAAATGAGAGAAGTAAACAGCTCTATAGAAATCCAACATCAAAGGTTCCCGGTTACCATTATCGTAAAAAAACCTGCGTAGTTTTGATAAACCTGCCCCTAAAGTGATCCCGGGAAAGGTGCAACTAAATAAAGGTATGGGGTAGACCTGGCGCCTCCTCAGATGGTTAGGGGCACCCCCTATGCCCCTCTCATTATGCATGCGCCTATGTTAGTTGCAGTAAATGTCAAAAGAATGAAACAGACGCTATTCTTTTAATTCTTTGATTTCAACAATATAAATTGCCACGACTTTTCCTATATTCAAGAAAACCTCATTTCAGACTAGTATATACGTATTCTTGAAGTTAAAGTTGTGGTTAAAGTTTGTTACATGCAGCCTGAGGTGGCAGATGTAACGAAAGGTAGCGTGAGACGCAAGAATACTGGACCGACGTAGCCGAGGGTTTTGACATTTACCGCTTAGTAGCTGGACAGTGATGATGAAATAGTATTGGAGTCATGGTACTAAGTTTATTGGATGTAGAGACTACGCTATATAAAGCCGATCCACTTGACAGAATTCACTTGGGCCATCACTATAACAACCGGCCGGCACGGCCTTTGAATTCTCGGTCAGGGGGCGCCTTCACAGCTTTTGGGAGGATGTCTAAATTCGTCTTCCCGCAGGAACGCAGTCCGTCAGAGATGGTGGGGTGATCAATGTTCACCGTGAGTCAGGGTGGTTGACCTTACTTCCGCTTCGCAGAAAAGGTTGCAGAAAAGACCGTAGTTGTGGCACAATAGCCTCTATAACGTTGAGAATTGAAAAGGCTGCCATAAATACACAACAACTATAATGAAAATGAAAAAAAGACAACAGTACACTACACCCGTTTCTTCCTCACCTTGATTCAAGAATTTGCTAAGTAGCTCATCTCACCGTTTTGCTACTCCACTAATAAAATTCAAGGCTGCAGTTCTAAACATGCGTAGACAGAAGAAATCTGAGGATAGCGAGAGAGCGCTGGCTCACAACAATATTATATTAAAGGTGTTTGGATCATTTTTACTCTGCCCTCGTCCATTGAGCGATGTAGCCTTTCAGCTGAGGATTACTACAAGCTCGCCCAAGTTCTCAATTCAATTGCCACATTCGATTGCCACATTCGGTGTACACGTTCGATGACTTCACAGTGGTGCTTTTGAGGTAAAAGAGCCCTGACGTTTATATATGAGATGCTTATATGATATGCGGACAATTGTACGCACTGGCTTTGACTTCATCGATTTTTCTCGTTGTTTGCGCAGGTAAGTGGCCTGTTCATCCCGCCGGCTCAGGACCTCGGCTATCCTTGGAAGTATGGCTATGTGGTACACACTAATCAGCGCGGCATGTACAAGATGGACCTCCGGGCCATGAAGTACATCAAGACCGTCGATCTGACGCCCTACAACTGTGCCCCAGCAAGCGCCGACTTTGCCTCCCTGGGTACGTGCGTGTGGCGGCCATGTGCGTTGAAAAGGATGCCGATGCGGGCATGGCGACTAATTGGGCTACTGAATTTGCTTCCACAATGTGGTATCGTCGATATTTGCCACAGTTGATGATCCTGAGCTACAATATTTGTAGGCGCTGCTCGGCTTCTGACCCGAAGGTCGCAAGTTTGATCCCAATCGCGGCAGTCGCATTTTGTTGGAAGCGCAGTGCTAGACGGCCTTGCACTGTGCAGTGTTAGTGCACGGTAAAGAGCATCAGATTGTCGAAATTTCCGAAGCCCTCCACTACGGCGTGTCTCAGTCATAACGTAGTTTTGGTACGTATTAGTTGAGATTTTTTGTTATTATTATAACTATTATTGTTTTTTAATTCGCTGTGCTATGCTCAATTAATGTTTCTATTACGCTCTGCGTGCTATGAAGGTTTCTATTTGCTGCTGCTTGAGGTCTTTAAAGTCACGCCACGTCCTATACAACATTTCTGATCTCAGAAAGAAAATGAATGGGCAATTTTCCGGTGCAAATTCAAGTTAAAACAAGTTCGACCTTTTTCCTTAATAAATTAAGCGGGAAGGCAGAACATGGATGAATAGATTGATTGATCGATATGTGAGGTTTAACGTCCCCAAAACACCATATAATTATGAGAGACGCTGTAGTGAGTCGAGAATTGGACGAAATCGCGTCTGGTCGGGAAGTAAAGGCATTGGTAGACAGCAAAAGACAGGACGCTGACCAAGAGGGTGTCAAAAATAGTAATAAAAGACGTTTCGGCTTCCACATGGAAGCCTTGTTCACTCGTAGTGGATGCTCCATAAATTTAGACCACTTGCTGTTCTTTAACGTGCACCAAAAGCTGAGCACACGGGCCATTTTCGCCTCCAACGAAAATGCAGCCGCCGCAGCCGGGGTTCGATCGCGTGACCGGCGGGTCAGCAGCCGAGTATTTTAGTCACTAGACCACCGCGGTGGGGCATAACATGAATAGAAGGGTAAGCGAAAACTACTAATATCAATCGTGTTGTGCCTGATGCGCCGATTTGCACTTGGCGAGGAGTGAATGGGAAAAGAAAAAAATTGCACATATACGTGTTGAAGTCTATGTGAAGTGAAAAATATATGAAATTATAAATTAGTTCTCTGAATGTGGCCATGATGCGTACAACTGTGGGTATATACTAAAGAGTGAACACCAATATTTAGTATAATATTACTACTACTACTAAATAATAATAATAATAATAATAATAATAATAATAATAATAATAATAATAATAAGATTGAGAGATGCCAGTAGTGGAGAGCTGCAGAAATTTCAACTATCTAGAGATCTTAAACGTGCCCTGACATTGCACAATATACGGGTCTCTACCATATATTTCGCCTCTATTGAAACGGGACCGCCACGGCCGGGGTCGAACCCGTGACCTTCGGGCCTGTAGCCGAGCACCCTAGCAACTCTCCCACGAAGGCGGCAAAACAAGAATATTTTGGTCTATTTGTGTTTATTTTCTCGTACTTTCAGTTTCCACCAATATATACCGGGTGTCCCGGCTAACTGGCACGAAGTTAAAAAAAAAAAAAGTTGTGTGTTCTAGGAGAGTTGTCCCTACTAGGTATTAGTTGTGATCGCGTGCACATACCACGTGCATTTTTTTTCGTAACTAAGCCCTGAGTAATCAACTTTGATAAGCCACTCTTTTTATTCTTGCTCGTAATGATAAAATAATAATTGAATGTTGTTGGCTGCCTTAAAGAGGTCTAGAATTAGGAATTTACTTGTGTTGAAATTGGTTCGGTTGTTTTTTTTTCAAGAAAAATAAAAACATGCGAAACACACCAAATGTGCAATAGACGCAAACTCGAGCGACGCTACTCAAGCGCTTCCAAGCGTTCTTCGGTTTATACACGACTGCGTTTGTTCATTCAACAGGGCTCCACGCTGTTTGACGGACACGCATCAAAAGACACTACTGACGCGTCTATCGTCGAACGCGAAGCTGTATAGGCCTGTACAATGCCGCGACGATGAACGCCGCCGTGTCAAATAAACCCAGAAACGTTTGGAAGCACTTGAGTGGAGGCACGCGAGCATGCGCCCATTTTAAAACAATATAAATAACACTGTAAATCAAAGATGCTCCTCAATATTTGTGACATGATATTTGCTGCCCTTTAGATGTGTGTGAGTAAGTCGACATTGTGTGTTCAGAGTTTATGGCCTAATGTAGTTTCAGTATCACACAAAGCAGACATGAGCTCAGTCGTCTAAATATGACTTTGGCGGTTGGGTTTAATACATTTCCATTTAAAGTGCATACAATTCCCTTTTTAATATTCATAAATACACACTGTGGTTAAAGTTGCCAGATGCAGCTCGCTAATGTGCAAGTCATCATCCATAAAGAAGCTCTAAAAAATTCGTGCCACTTTTGCGAAGTCCAAAGGAATCGAAGATTAATAAATTCTTGTTATTGAAAATAGTTTAGAATGATATTTAAAAAAAGTAACTCAGATGCGAACAGACGGTAAGGAACAACTTTGGTAATTTTTCGTGCAGCAAATATATTAGCAGCTATATACGAAAGCACATATTTACTTTTTTTACATATTCTCCATGGTAGTCACCATTCTGTTCATAGTAGGTTTACCAGTGCATATATATTATTACTTGTTTAATTCCCCAACGTATGTTTGATTTAAAAGCTCAGCTATACACAAAGTCATTGATCAATGCACCCCCAGTGGATTTTATGAAAACAAAAATAAGTATATTTACAGAGAAAACACCCATAACCCGCACCCACAAACGCACTAAAGAAAGCGACAAGTGACTGGAAAGATCTACAAGCCAGCTGGGGGAAAAAAAAGAAGCACAAATACGCCTGTCATAAGCGGAAGTGAAAACTTTGCCTGTGGTAGAACGACGAACGCCAAACTCCGAGTGAGAAGAAGTAAAAATTTAACTTTGAAAGAAAAAAAAAAACATGAAACAGGCGTAAGAGCTGACGCACCCGCCCACCCAACAACGCTCACTGTGCATTCAAAGGCGCTGCAGAACCCAGTCGTTTATGAAAAGCACAGCAGGAAGCCACTTCCTATGCAAGCAGTCGTCGAGTTTGGGGATTCTGTAGTTTCCTTTGCGGGGGACTTCAGTCATTTAATACGATTATGGCAAGTCACCATCAAAAGCAATTTTATTGATCAAACTAAGCCCATAGCAGAGCATATTTTCTGTTGCGTCGTCATACAGAAGCTGGCCGCGCATTGTTTTCTATTCAGATAAGAAAACAATAGGCGTTTGTTCGCTTAACTGAACTTCACCACGCTCTCCAATCACGAGTGGTGTATCTCGAGTTTCAAGGGAAAAGGTGTACGGGAAAGAAAAAAGTGCTGTTTAGAAAAATGCCAAACTGATCTGAAGACTTAATTTTTTCCATTTGAAAAAAAAAGTACTCAGGAGTCTTTTAAAATCATAACATAATTAGGTTTCTCGAAGTTTGGCCAGGAACTGTTGTACATGAGTAAATAATAAAGGGTGATTCCACGAGAGATCGACACGGGTCCAAAAGTTGATATTTTAGATTTCATTGAGTATTTTATATTCCGTGTAGCCCGAAAGTCAACTTCGTTTTATGATTAACGGCGTAACTTACGAGAAAAAAAAATCAATCTTCACCAACACGGAGGAACCAATTTCGTGACCTGTCATTTTCGAAGATTGCAGATGCTCTAAAAAGACAAATATTTTTGTTTCACGGAAGATATTTTTTATCTGAAATGCATGTCTAATGAAGAATGAATTCATACGGTTTAAGTTTGTAGACCTTAAGAAGATAGCTTTTAAATATGTCTAATTTTGCGACAGTTTAAAATAAGTTACGTATATTAAAACTTGACATGTTTTAAGGATTTAATGTGTTCATAAGGTACATAAATTATTGCTGCCGTAGGGCAAATGTAAATTTTCACATATTGCCTCAAAGTTCTCATATTGGCAATAGTGTACTCCACCGAAATTTGAATAACAAAAAAAACCCTCTTCGATTTTTCTTAAAATCTCGTAAATAGACAACCGAAGGCCATCATACAGTAATAGAGAAAAACATGTTGCATTATTTTGTTTTTAGCGACAATATTCGTGGTACAAATCAGAGCTTTTCGAGAATGCGCTGATAAGTTGAGAAATCTAGAAATCAGAACGGAAAAGCGGCAATAAGCTTAAAACGCGGGTAAACGTGACCGCATTTGGTGAAGAAAGGCTGTTTTAGCAGATAGGAGTAAGTATTCTGAACACGGTATTCTACAGTATCTGAATTCACTCTTATACGTAGAGCACTGAGACTTCTAATATGTGGTGCCTCTCCATTACTTACACACAGATGGATCTGCTGGGATGGCCATGTGTTTGCAACACGTTGGATAAGAAAATTGAATGTTGAATGAGTTCATAAACGATTCATAACAAATTTTTATCATTTGGGGCACGAAGGCTGCCCCATTAGACTGAAGAACACGCTTTAGGGCAAGTTGTCATCCGTCGTCTGCTCTACAAATGAATTGCTGTGCGCCGCATCTCGGAGGCAATGCTTTAGATTATATGGTTCAAAGTAGGGACAAAGATCACGCCTCCCGTAATGTTATCGACAAAAACATTGTGAAATTTATTTTAACCACGGAGGAAGGAAAGGTAAGGAGAGGACATGCCCAGCCGGCGCAGGGCGTAAAATATGTGGCGGAAATTACGTCACGCGTGGCCATATTCACTAGGCACAATGGCGGCGTTTTGTTATTGTTGATGTAGTGCGGTGCGGCACCGTTCAGGCGGTCCAGCGGCGGTGTGCGCGTTTTCATGGGCCTCGCACCTAACCGTGGCATACTGCAGGTGTTCGACAGCATCCATTCTTTGTGCCACATTGTTAGCTAATCTTGCTTTTCATGTTCCTGTACAGCTACCGGTTGACGGTTGGCGCTGAGCTCTGTTCCAGATAAGGAAGGCAGAAACCAGCGCCTTCTCTTTATTTTCCTCTAATGACTAGCCACTTATCCCGGAGACATCTTCCCTCGCATTTGGCTGGCTTTCCCTGCCGTCCTTGGCGGCTGTGTCGACGTGTGAAGCTTCCCGCAGACCTTTTCTCACGCATTCCTTCGGCTAACATTCCCACCTTTCGCCCTAACGCGATCCTGGTTTCCGTTCTCCGTAGCTACTAGTGCGTGTGAATCACACTGGAGACGTGTTCCCACGCACTTTCGAGTGGTCTTCGCTGCTTTCGTCCTAATGAAATCATGGCCTTTGAGATACCCGTAGGAACCAGTGCGCGTTGGACAAAACAGGGGCGAAAACAAAGAGGCCCGCGCAAACTCAACCGGCTGCCACGCACACAAGCTCCCCTGACACCGACTTTACTGGCGTAATTACGGACCTCCGGGTTTATTGCAGGGAAGACATTTTTTTCTTTTTTTTATCCTTGTGTCTAGCCTACAGACTGACCGAAAATTTCATAAAACCTGAAGAGAAGCGCAAAAGGGGAAAAAGCGATCTGAAAGAAGCTGTGCAAATTTCGGTGCCGGGTTCGTCGCGCGGCAATTTCCGAAATATAATCTTTATTTTCACAAAGAACACATAAAAAAAAAAATCTTAACGTGCAACTTACCGTGTTTATCGGTAACGCTGGCAGTGCAAGAGTACAACAGCCATACGCAGAGATTTCGTCAACCGTATCGCGGCAAGACAGCGTGTTGAAATCCGTTCCGTTGGTTTCGGATAGCACCGGCGCACGCGGCGCGCAGGCCACGTGCTTTTTGAGACAGAGAGGAAGCCGCCCCTTCTGCTTCGCATTCGTATGTAAACAAGAGAGGATAATTTGCCTAGTCAATATGGCCGACTTCCGGCTTCATCGCGGTTTCGCAACGAGTGACGTCAGGGCCTCTCCAAGCTTACCTTTCCTTCCCCCGTGATTTTAACGTACTATACTTCAGTTTTGCATTCGCACTGTGGATACTTGCGCACAAGTATCCACAGTGCGAATGCAAAACTGAAGTTCAGTACGTTAAAATGAATTTGACAATGTTTTTGTCGATGAAATTACGGGAGGCGTGATCTTTGTCCCTACTTTGAACCACGATCTAAAGTATTGTCTCCGAGATGTGGCACACAGCAATTCATCTGTAGAGCAGACGACGGATGACAACTTGCCCTTCAGTCTAATGCGGCAGTCTTCGTGCCCCAAATGATAAAAAATTGTTATGAATCGTTTAGGAACTCATTCAACATTCAATTCTCTTACCCAACGTGTTGCAAACACATGGCCGTCACAGCAGCTCCATCTGTGTGTCAGTAATGGAGAGGCGCCACATATTAGAAGTCTCAGTGCTCTACGTATAAGAGTGAATTCAGATACTGTAGAATATCGTGTTCAAAATACTTACTCCTATCTGCTAAAACAGCCTTTCTTCACCAAATGCGGTCACGTTTACTCGCGTTTGAAGCTTATTGCCGCTTTTACGTTCCGATTTCTAGATTTCTCAACTTATCAGCGCATTCTCGAAAAGCTCTCATTTGTACCACGAATATTGTCGCTATAAAAACAAAATAACGCAACATGTTTTTCTATATTACTGTATGATGGCCTTCGCTTGTCCGTTTACGAGATTTTAAGAAAAATCGAACATGGGTTTTTTTATTATTCAAGTTTGAGTGAAGTACACTTTTGCCAAAATGAGAAATTTGAGGCAATATATAAAATTTACATTTGCCCTACGGCAGCAATAATTTATATACTTAATGAACACACTATATCCTTAAAACGTGTCAAGTTCGAAAACGCTGCTTGCAACACTTTCGGAGAAAAAAATGGGGAATACGTAACCTATTTTAAACTGTCGCAAAATTAGACATATTTAAAAGCTATTTTCTTAAGGTCTACAAACTTGAAACCGTGTGAATTCATTCTTCATTAGACGAGCATTTCAGGTAAAAAGTATCTTCCTTGAAACAAAAATATTTGTCTTTTTATAGCATCTGCAATTTTCGAAAATGACAGGTGACGAAATTGGTGCCTCCGTGTTGGTGAAGCTTGATATTTTTTTTTCTCGTAAGTTATACCGTAAATCATAAAACGAACTTGACTTTCGGGCTACCTGGTGAGAGGTGAACGAAATATAAAATACTCAATGAAATCTAAAATATCAACTTTTGGACCCGTGTCGATCTCTCGTGGAATCACCCTAAAATGTGAGCTTATGTATTTTACAAAAATCTCTAGTTTGCAACCACAAGCATCTAGCGTATATATTTACGAGGTATCCAAAGCGGCATAATGCATTACCTCTTTTCACGACTCGCATCATATCATTACTTTATTGACGGAAGTTGTGCGTGGATTGGGTTCATGGGCTGCTGGTGCACATACTATCTGTTATATATAAATCTCTTTCCCTCTTGGCACCTTAAGTGAGATATTTAACAGTTCTTTGACGTATGTATTCGCCACGTATACGGACAGTTCTCAGCTCCATGCTGGCAATATAAGCTTTATGGCCGCACGCGCAACCATACTAGTCGTCGGACGGTCAGTTTATCTCTCTCCATGCTTTGCCTTTACTTCTCTAAAACCTGGTATTTACTGCATCATGAAAACTGAATAAAGGGCTTGCGGAACAAACTAGTGTGCTACAAGGCCCTCTCAGAACGGCAACTGTTCTTCGCAGTTGCTTCATCGTTGTGCATAATAGATCGCACAACGCCCTGATTCTGGTGCAGGGGGCTTCGTGATCCTGGAGTGCCTGGAACCCATCACTCAGCGGCCAATGGGCCAGATCCTGCTTGACTACCTCACTGATACGGTGCTTTCGCACAAGACCAACCTGTTCGGCCGTCCGCGCGTCTCGCCCGACTCACGGCACGTCATCACGCTGCAGAGTTCCAACAACAGCGTTGTCATAGTCGCCCAGGAGGTCACCGAGCAAGGTAAACACGTGGTTATCAAACGTGCAGTAAAGCCCGCATGAATACGAAGCCTATATAGAGGCGCAACCGCAAAAGCTATACCTTGGTTACGTACGAAACATCAAAATGAGAATATTGGCCGGTACTATGTATGTCTTTGGGTGCCGTCTGCGCCATTTTACTGTCATGTTTTCATGGTTTAGCGTACACATGGTACACAAGAGGTGTTTGTCCCAGGTGTCATGTGTGTCATGTGACGTGTGTACTATTTGCTTCTCTTTTGCTTTAATCGCGGAGGTCTGTCAATGTAGGTATTCAGAAAGATACAGGAAACCAAAACTCATCGAGTCCCTTACGTATTCTTCTAATACGACTGGAAGGCGAAAGTCATCCGGTATGACTATATCATCATAAGCATCATCATTACCACCGCCATCATCATCGTCATCATCGGAGCTTGAGGTCACGTGAAAATTTGCATACTTTGTCAATTCAGTGGCTGATGATGATGAATTACAGCTGAGCCTTTTTAATGGTTTGGCAGTTTTCAGCGTCCAACCTGTTACGCACTTCGCATTGTCGCGACAATTAGTGCGGTGCTACGCTTCCGCCATAAATTCTTCAGGAATGTTTACAATGTTTAGGAATCAAGCTGGCTGTAGGCAGACATTATTAGTAAGTGCTGTTTATATATTTTATCTGAGCAAATGAAACATTCAAGATAAAACATCCCGTGTAAGGTCGAGTTGGGATGCTATGTTCCCAGGAAGGCCGTCCGTTAAAAATTACGTGGATTGTCAGGTTTTTTAAAACTAGCAAAGAAAAACTTTGTGGCTGGAATGATTTAACCTGCATTTTGAAACCCTTTAAAAGATTAAGGACATTTAAAGAATACTTTAGGCCGCTATACGACTAATACATTGAGCTGCAGGCTGAACTTAAACCATGACGGTGCCCTAACTGCTTTTCGCCCCACTAAAGCACGAAGCAAAAATTTTACAGTGTACTAAAACATGGCTATCATTCATGTTCGACCAGAGTCCTCATTGCGAGACTGTGAATTATTGAGGTTTGATTATGTGTGCGTACGTGTATCTCCTTCCTCCCTCTCTCGGTCTCTTTCTTTTGTTCTTCATCACATATTGCACATTGACGGTCTTACCCGCACGATGCCAACTAAGCGATTGATACTAAGAAATTAAGCTGATCCCTCAGGCTGTGTTACATATTTATTTGTTCAGTAGCTGCACATATGGCTTTAATTAAGCTGACGCATGTTCCATGGCACATTCGCCACCAACTGCAAGCTGTTACGGGAGCGCAAAATGTCTATGCACGCTCATTACCTGTAAATTATTGCTACAGATTCGCGGGTTGGCGGCTCTGTTCTCTACAAAAATTTCTCAGTGAAACAAGTAACGCTGCCCAAGTTCCTGCTACTACAACTATCCATCGTCATGTACCCCATTCATTTATTATAGCCAAGGTCTTGCTTGAAATGTCTGGTGCTATTCGCGTGCATAGACGGTAACCGTCAATGGTTTATGCATAGTGATATTTGTTGCCGCCATTTGTATCTGCATTTTGTATTTTAGTCTTATGGATGTTTATTGTAATATTGTTTATCGTTTTCTCTTCACTTATGATACCCACCACTCATGTAATGTCTCTCGGGACCTATAAGGTATTAATAAATAAAAATAATTAAATAGATATATTGACGGAAGGCTAGTTATAGTCATGGAAAAGTCTGCACCAGGTTCTGAAACAATGAGTTTTATGGGTTTCTGTTGTTAGTCTCATCCTTTTGTATTTTCTTATATCTGGATGTTCCTTCGCAGGTCTACGGTTCCTGTTCGACGTTAAGACAACGCTGCAGATCAGCGACGCTACTTTCTTCACGTCGCGCACAAGCCACAGCTACGATTTATACGCCAGCTCGTCCACCAAGGAGGACATCCTCTTGGTGAACCTGCAGGACGGCAAGGTCGAGGTCATCACGGGCACGGGCCGCGCTATCGATCCGCGCGGCGCTCGCTGGGGCAACGCCAACCGGCCCATCAGCAGCGCGGGCGTCTTCGGCACCTACATGGTCACCACGGCCAGCGAGGCCGTCTTCGTGCTCAACGGCAAGACGCGCACCGTCAACTGTGAGATCGGCAACGTCGTTCATCCGCGAATGATGGTTTGGGTGCGCTCGCCCTAAACTCGGCCCTCTTGTCTCCGCTGCCCGCACGCCTCTACCCTCGACCAATTGGCAGCCTTTGGCTCTCTCTCACTCTTCCTTCTCTGGATATTTTTGTTCACCTTTATTTTACTGTTCTTTCAGGTGTATATGAAGCCGACAGCCACACCGTTTTAACCGAAGGCGAGCTAACATGGGCGTTTTAGGCTGAAAAAGTAAATCTGTGCATTTAGCATGGTACGCACAGCGTCCTCCTATACGCTTCTTAAAGTACTGCACGAAACTGCGTCAGTGTTAGCCTTCTCATCCAAGAAAGCACAGCGAGGTAGAGAGGCCCATCTCGTGACATCTGATATATAGAGATACTAGTAAGAACAAGACACTCGTGGCAGCACACACTGGCGTCATTGCGAAGCCACTGTAGATGCCGAAAAGCGAAGTGTCTCCCTTTACACAAAGATTCTCACAAGTCTGATAGGAGAAATAAAGCCTAGACAACGAGCTAGCTAAGGCTAACAGATCTGAGCATGCGAAATCGACAGGCACAGTAACGCCTTCACTACTTCAAGGGTTCCGCTTTTATTGATAAAAAGGCGCTTTCGAGCAAAAATGCAGCTAGACGCACTTAATCTAGAGCCACCTAAGGGAATAAGCATATTGTGAATTTAACCTTATGGTTATTGACATTTGACGTCCGTTTTTCTAAGTCCTATTTTTCCCTCCTCCTTAAATAGTTTATTTCTGAGCAATAAGTTTTAGCTATGGTCGTTGTGTGGGTGCTGTAGAAGCAAGAAAAAAAACGCGTTTGTGTTCGGGAACATGTGCTGCCTACATTTTTTGTGAGGCTTTATTGTTTAGTGTTTGACATCGGAGAACAAGGCTCATGGCCGCCGTCCAGTTATCTGCTTTGCGGTCTATAGTACACGTACAAATGCAATCTGCCATATTGTAGGCTCTCTGTTTTTTTGTTTGAATGTGCTCTTAAAAGCATGCGTTTTTAAGTGTAGCGGAACGTGTGATACACCATGAGTAGTGTAAGAGTTTGGCAGTGAGAAGAACTCTTTCGATGTTTCACGTGGCCGGTGCCTGTAAGGAATAGTGGCAAGATACAACATTCCTCGATGGCCTTACGTGTCGTAAACTTGGCTAAAACACTTACGTTACGTCGTCAAAGGCAAAAAAAAAAACACGAAACTGTTGTGAAGTAATTGGAAATTTCAGGTATTTGTTTAGATTATACTGGATATTCTTTAGGCGAAGCTTTTACCTCTTAGCCGGGTGCCAGCCTCTATATCGTTATCATATTCTGATTGCAGTTTGATGAACAGCGTTGTTTAAAAAGAATTTTCTCTGACTTTGATTTTTTTATTCTATGAATGCTAACGGCAGTGGGGAAACGGGCGGCTGTGTTCGATGAGTCCTGCACCAACCGTCTGCAATTGTAATAAAGAATACGGAAATGTGCAGCAGCAACAAAAAGCATATTTATCAATGTTCACTTTTGCCATCAACTTCGGTTATTGTGCCACTGTTCTCTTGACATAATCTAAAAAGGTCCGTGGCGGGAGCTTCATACCCCAGGAAAACTATTAATTTTGCAGTTGCATGTCGCATAAAGTATTTCTTACATGTTCTTCATTGTAACGAAATCAAGGCTAGATGTTTCTTGCTGCCGTATACCCATGTAAATGCTGTAGTTTCTTTCGCTTTCTTTTACCAACAACTGAAAAGATTAGTTGTTTTTGCTTTTATCTTAAGTCAGGGGATGCTTAATGTGGCCTCTTCCATTCCGAAGGGCCTCTGGGCTGCTGCTATTACCGCCACCGATGGTTAAAAGTTCATGCTGTACATAACCTATAGCGACATGTATTTGATTCAGGTTGTGCAGTACTCAGTGTCTTCTGTAGCATCTGAGCTCTGTCTGCCATGTCAAGTTTTGACTTAGTCAGTCTTGATTTTCGGAGTACGCTAAGGCTGTATACCTGGACGAATATGGGCGTGTTATACAGTGTATGAAAGCGGCGTGTTGGGGCATTCAGTGACGCGTCCCGGGCTTTCTTTATAAAGCCAGTCGGATAAGCAGGGGATGTCCGTGCACAACCTCCTTTGCCTGGAATGCCTCAGCTAAAAGGACTCAATCTTGACCAGATGTAACGACAGATTTAGGCTTTCACTGTATGACCGCATGTGAAGTTTAGAAGGTGTTAAGATAATAACAATATTGTGTTGGCCTGTCTCGTAGTTGTGATGGTCGTCAAAACTTTCTTGCTCCTTCGAAGATGGCTCGGCATGACCGTAGCTAAGGCGGCCGAGTTAGCACGCACGAATATCCACAGGAAAGCACAATTGTCTGTCGTTCTACGAAGAAAGACTATGACTGTTCTGTATAGGTAAAGCTGTGAAAGCTTCAGGAGATGCGTATGTTCATCTGGCACTGTCCCGCATCCACTTAATCCAGTTGGAATGATATGTGTACATTTAAAAGAAGCTTTTCTATTTTAGTTACTGTTTTTATTTTTACCTTGGTCACAAATTCTAGTCCTAAATGTATTTCTCATCCATGTAGTGTCACACTTGTAAATATGCGTATTTGAAGTTGAAATGAAAATACGTTGCGCCAAGGCGCGTTATGTAGGTCAACTTGTTTTGCTATATTTAATTTTAAGGTGTGCTTGTCGAAAGTGCATTGATGTGTATGTATGTGGCATTAATAAAGAACTGTGCTAGAACGCACGTAGCATTTTTCATGCTCCTTGTGATATGGGGAGTGTGCTTCAGACTTGTCTCGAGAATTTCTCTGGCTCATTTTCTTTTTTGCTCATGTTACGCGATATGGAGAACCTTCTCTCATGCACGATCTTTGTGTTGGTATTACGAAAGCTTTTTTTTTTTTTGTTCATTCCAGCGCGAAACGAAATATCACATTACATTGGACTGTCTCGTCCGGCTTTTCAACGGATACTCGTTTGCTGTGAAATCATAATCAACTCACGTGGAAAAAAGAACCGATGGAGAAATAAATTACCGAAAGTGTCCCGCTTGAATATTTTGTATGAAAAAAGTATAGCGGCAACTGTCGCAAAAGCCAACGCAGCGTGAACAGCACTCGCGTTTTGTTCTGTGCCGTAGCCGGTAATTACGCAGTACGAAACGTATACCTAGATTGGCAATGAAAAGGGCGTAATGTTGGTCCCTTCTCTTACGTTATCGAAATGCTAGCATATATCGCTGTTTCAGATCGAAAAATCCGTAAATACTCCCCAGCGGCGCTCTGTTAGTCGTCGAGTTCAGAAAATTCGCAAGAGAACGGCATAACAGTAGCCTGCCGGCATTGTGCGCCGTTATGTGTGGCGCCAAACGAGGCAAAACTGATAGCCATCAAGGGCCCAGGCGACGTGGGCTTTCCGAATCCACGAAGGGCCGCTGCGTGAGGTTGGATGGAGCGCGCAACGTAATGAGACGTTCTCGCCCTCCAACGCGCGCTGTGTTCTTTTGGCGGTCCGATTGTATGCGTCTCGCACAACTGCCAGCAGAGCTCACTGCACGAGCTCCACAAATTTCGGGTGGCTGCCGCCGTGGCTGAAACCACACGTTCTCCGACATCAATTCTTCCTCCGTCTAGGGCGAAGTCGCGACGACAAGTCGAAACGCTCGCAAAATCTTACGTTCCACACTTGTGCTGACTGTAAACATGTGGTATTGTTTTCTGTAAGTAGAAGTTTTCATGCGTGGTTAACACCGTCTGTCTGCTTGTCACACGACTCGTGCGATGCGTAAGAGTGTGTGACTAAAATGCTTGAATAAAAAAAGTTGCACTTGCATCGCCAGTGTGCTTGTTTTGTTCTTGCCAGTCGCTTCTTTTTTTCTTCTTCCCTTACATGCCATTTTACACACACATATTTTTTATGTTACCGTGATTGCTGATTTCCTGCTTGCGAGCTCCTATCATTTTTCTTGTTTTCTGTGTTATGATATTACTCTTGCCCTGTGTGCCCATATTTGTATTTTTCTAATGAATGAATGTTTAAAATATATAAAAAGTTTCTAGTTGATTTGATCGATATGTGGGGTTCAACGTCCCCAAACCCCCATATGTTTATAAGAGACGCCGTAGTGGAGGGCTCCGGAAATTTCGACCACCTGGGGTTCTTTAATGTGCGCCCAAATCTGAGCACACGGGCCTACAACATTTCCACCTCCATCGGAAATGCAGCTGCTGCAGCCGGGAGTCGATCCCGCGACCTGCGGGTCAGCAGCCGAGTACCTTAGCCACTAGACCACCATGGCGGGGTGAAAGTATCTACTAAGCAATCAAGCATGAGTGGAAAACAAGAACACCACCTGAAATCCGGAAGGAAAAGGTTGGGTTGATTAATCACGCATCTCTCCAGTTTGATACACGTAATCAATACAGGCGAACTTTCACGGCCATACCAAAGGATGTGTGTATCGCGACCTGGGCTTCACAGTATTATTTTTCAAGATATAACAAGCTGGCACTGCTACACTAGATGAACTTCGTCCTTTGCCATGAAGTTTATTTTATGTAAGGAAAATGCAAATTTTATTTACACTGATGAATCTATTTCTAAGGCATCCTTAAACAATCTCTGAAAATAAAAATAACAAGTATATACTGTCCTTGCAGCAGATTTTGTGGCGCCAGTAATCTCTTCACAAGATGAGATTACACAAAATGAGAACATGAGCTTTCGATCGGCTCATCTATACACGAGGGACATCACTTGAGAATGGTCTCGTGGCCTGCTTTGCCACGCAGTCATCCAGCCATTCTGCTTTGTCTCGCATGACTTTGATGCGCAATCAGCTGATTTCACTTCGTTTTGCGCTTGTATTGCGATAGCACCACTATATAGACACTCGGACATTCTCGGCTGAAATTAGCTCACGGCGGCGGCAAGCGCCGTCATTCACCATAAATAAATAAATAAATAAATAAATAAATATATATATATATATATATATATATATATATATATATATATATATATATATATATATATATATATATATATATATATATATATATATATATATATATTTATATATATATATATGTGTGTGTGTGTGTGTGTGTGTGTGTGTGTGTGTGTGAAGGCCGGACCCGTGGCTGAAACGTCAATAAAATCACTTCCGTGCGTCTTCTTCACTGCGGATAATTTTACCCAAACCCAGCACCACTTTTTGTATATATATATATATATATATATATATATATATATATATATATATATATATATATATATATATATATATATATATATATATATATATATATATATATATATATATATATATATATATATATATACCAGGTGCATGTTGCTGACTGTTGTGTGGAGTGTTAAATCAGAATACTTTTCGTGTTCTCAAATATTATTTAATTAGATATGTTTAATAACTAATTTTTAAGAAACAAAGATGGACAAAAAGTTCAATGAGAAAGTTCTAGATCGGTTTGCAAAACGTCTGAATAGGCAGTATCACACTTTATATCTGTTAATATTAGTGTTTTTCAGCTAACTACAGATGCCCACGAAGTACAAAAACAAGTCACAGCTTTTTTTCACAAAAGCGAAGCAATGAACGTGATGACAACAAATTAGAAGGTCACACGCAGAATGGAAAGCAGATCTAAACGTGCCCCACGCTTCTCACACACAAATGACGCAGGAAATGGTACTCACAGGTACAGATGCCTGCGAATAGGCGTTTCAGTTGTTACTTCGCTGTGTCTGAAAAGCGCGCGCTTTTCGCTAAAGTAGGCTGAAATAATTTAAGTGATCTTTGTGCGCCCGGTGACTACAACAAAATCGTTCCAGGTAAAGCCCGAGGCCAGCCAAGACATACGATCCTTCTCTCCTTACCACCGCGAGATAAGGGCGCCCGGGGGAGCATTGCTCCCCTCCTCTATGCGGGGCAAAGTATATACGCGTCGGAGATTAGAGCGTGCGCTGCCACGCGATGTAGTGACGCGCGCTCATGGCGCCATCTTGCTGGTAATGCTGAAAACACTATTCCCCCCGAGATGCCCGTTAGCAGAGGTAAGTGGTAGATATAAATAACTTGCCGTTTGATTAACGCCTCGCACTCTCTTTTCAAAGTACCCAAGTTAGATTGCACGCACCCGAGTGTTCTATTGCACACGCGGAGGCGTTTACCACTGAGCCACCGAGGGGGTACCTCATTCAACGTTCAAACGCAAGCTATTTATATCTACCACTTACCGCTATCGGCGGGCATCTCGGAAGGGACCAACGTGTTTTCAGCATTATCAGCAAGATGACGCAATGATCGCGCGGCAGCTCTCATCTCTGCATGATGTGTACTTTGGGCCCGCGGATAGGAGGGGGATGGGCCATCTCTCGCACACCCTTATACATCTCCCGGTGGGAAGGATCATGCGTTTTGGCTGGCGGGGCGCACAATGGTCGCTGAAATCATTTCACAGCCTCCGTTTGTGAAAAAGGCGCGCTTTTCAGACACAGCGAAGTAAAAACTGAGACGCTTATTCGCGCTCATCTGTACCTGTGAGTACGTTTCATGCATCATTTGTGCGTGAGAAACGCGAGGCACGTTTTGATCTGCTTGCCATTTTGTGTGTGACCTTCCAATTTGTTGAGATCGCGTTTGTTGCTTCGCCTTTGTGGCAAAGCTGTGACTTTTTTATAATGACATGGGGATCACGAATGCGCGGACGACAGAAGTGAGTATACTTACAATATTTACAAATGGCTGTGTCCAAATGCTGATAGCCCCTCGCGTGGCGAGTCCGCTTTTTTCAAGTTCATCGATTCGTCTGTGACGGCGGGACCATACCCACTCCCTCTTAATCACCACGAGTGGACGAAGGGTGCCCCTAAGTTAGTCAAGACTGGCAGTATATCAGCGTTTTAGGCACGACACATGAACATCATTAGGTGATGTAGCAGGAGCTGAGTGCGGCTAAACGGTAGTGTTGAGGTAGTCGTCGTCGATGACCTCGCGGAGAACATCGTATGGTCCTGTGTATCATGGTAGGAGCTTCTCGCGCAAGCCGTCACGTCGGTACGGCGTCCCAATTAAGACAAGAGAGTCAGGGGTGTAGTCAATGTCGTGGCGCCAGTCATCGTAGCGCACTTTTTGTGAGGCCTGAGAAACACAGTGCCTATGGTGTGAGTGATTGAGTGAGTTACGCGGGCTCGAGAAGCAATATTCTGAGCATACACCATTTGTTAGACGGTATCAGAAGGATTGATACATTTGCGGTGTTTAACGTCCCAAAGCCACCTTACGAATATTTTGTGAGAGACGCCGTAGTGCAGGGCTCTGTTAATTTCGACCACCTGTGGTTCTTTAACCAGCACCAAAATCTGAGAACATGGGCCTACAGCATTTTCGCCTCCATCGAAAATGCAGCCGCAGCAGCTGGGTTTAGATCCCGTGACCTGCGGGTCAGCAGCCGAGTATCTTAGCCACTAGACCACCAAGGCGGGGCGGTATAAGAAGGAACGAGTGTTTCGAATGGCAACGCAGGGTTGCGGCCGTAGAGAAGAAAGAACGGTAAAAAACCGGCGGTGTCATGCCTTGACGAAATATATGCACTCGTAATGTAGGGGAGCGTTACGTCCCAATCACGGTGGTCAGCAGAGACGTACATCGACAACATATCTGTAAGAGTTTGGTGGAGGCTCTCGGTAAGACCGTTGGTCTGTGAATGGTAGGCTGTAGTAAGTTGATGTTCGCTAGAGAAGCTACGGAAAATTTCCTCGATCACCTTTGCGAAGAAGCAGGAGCCACGATCTGTAAGAAGCTGGCGCGGAGCCTGATGCAGGAGAATGACGTCATTTGGTAGAAAGTCTGCGATGTCTTTAGCGCAGCTAGTTGGCAAGGCGAGAGTCATAGTGTATCTGGTCATATAGTCAGTTGCGACAGCGATTCATTTGTTGGCTGACATGGACGTAAGGTAAGGTTCGAACAAGTGGAGGCCGACGCGGAAAAATTCTTCCGAGGGAATGTCAATAGGCAGGCCAGCCGGACGGAGAGCAAGACGTTTGCGACGCTGGTAGTGCTCGCAAGTAGCGACATTACGGCGCACAGATCGATACAGGTAATGCTAAAAGAACCGCTGCCGCACGTGGTCGTACGTGCGTGAAATGCCCAGATGTCACACCGTTGGAGCGTCATGCATATGTTGAAGAATGGTAGCACGCAGGTGTTGGAGAATAACTAATAAAAAATTCCTGACGATCAGGCTTCTTGTTGCGGCGATACAGAAAGTCAATGCAAAATACATAATGATGAATCGGACGGTTGCAACACACTGCAGATACTTGCTCAATGACCGTCTTGAGGGTTGCATCCCGACGCTGCTCTGTGCCGATGTCGGGCAAATCAGATATGACCAGCACACAAGAATCGCTCTCATGAACAGCGAGACTCGCAGGGTCCACTGGATAACGCGAGAGACAATCGGCATCTTGGTGCAGCCTGCCAGACTTGTAAATTATGTCTTTGGTATATTCCTGGAGGCGTAGAGCCCAGCGACTACAGGCGACCAGTTGGGTCCTTGAGCGATGACAACCAACACAGAGCGTGCCGATCGGTAATAACTGAGAACTCACGGCCATACAAGCAGGGGAGAAATTTTTCCGACAGCACAGACCAACGCAAGACACTCGCGCTCTGTGATCTAATAGTTTTGCTCAGATGTGGAGAGGAAGCAGCTGGCATACGCAATAACACGCGCATGCCCCCCCCCCCCTGGTGTTTAGCGAGCACGGCGCCGATGCCGTGAGCACTGATGGGGTGTGAACTTCAG